TCCTCTCTGGGCCTCTAGTTTTGTCTGTGTGAAATGAGGAAGTTGGAGTAGACACCCGCGGGCTGTTAGCCTGATACTCTTCGGGAGGGAAGGAGGCGTGCTTGAGAGTGTGTGTGCGCGCGCACGTGTGTGTGTGGGGTGGGTTGCAAGGTGCTTTGGGGGAACTCTGTCTATTTCAGGAGCCCTTTACTGGGTGCAGGTCAGCAGGGGAAGTGAAAAGGCCACTGGGTGACAGTGGTTACCCCTTACCAGCTGCTTGCTCATGCCAGGCACTGTGCTGGGTCCTTAGACGCACAGTCTTGAATCCTGACAAGCCCCTGGTGAGACAGGACCTCTCGCTGGCGGAGGAAATGGCAGCTGAGAGCTGAACCCACTTAGGGTCTGAGGCCGCAGAGCCCGGGAGCTGTGGAGCTGAGGTTCCTGTCTGGGTCTGCCTGCGGTCTTGCTCACTGAGCCATCAGAGCAGGCGAGAAATCGGCTCCGTGGACGCGGGTGTGCACGGAGCATCACACTGGAGTTTTCAGAAATGAGTGTAGTCCTCATCCTACCAGCTTGGAAGGAAAGTCCAGCTCAGCCATCACCAGGACTACCCCCTTTCCCTCCCTGCAAATCCCTGCCTCCCACTCCGGAAGTCCTCAAAGGTGTCGGGAATCTCAGGTGAAGCCGACCACTGGGGAAGGCCTCTTTGTGGCCCCCTCCCCATTTCCCGTCACGATTTGTCTGTTGCTTGGACAGTGCTCTGTGCGCCACCGCGGCTCCCAGGGCACCTTGGGTGTGGGGACTCTGACAGGTTTTAAGCTTTCTGAGGTTCCCAGTGCATCCTCATGACTCACACCAAGCTCCTTCCTCCTTCCAGCCATGCAGGTCCCTTCCCCAGAGCCACCTGCACCTGCCTGTCTCCCTCCAAGCCCTCACTGGAGGCCCTCAGTGCATTTAGAAAACAGGAAGGTGGGGTTGTGTTCAGGCAACTTCTGCTTTTAGCCCAGTGACCCAGATGTCCCCAAGAGAGGGGAACAACAAAGGCCTGGCCGCCTGGTTGGAATGGGGTCAGGAGAGGCACACAATGAGGATGGAAGGTGAAAGCACGTCACAAGGAAGGACCCTGTCCCCCACGTGGCCCACAGGGCTCTGCTGTGGGACTGTCCCGCTGGAGGGTTGGACACATTTGAGAATGTGTCTGAAGCCACTTACACAGTCGCACAGACCACTGTAATGCAGGCTGGAAGATGACGGGGAGTAGGGGTGGGAAGGGGAGAGCTGGGGCTGCCCTCTGGCCTCTGTCCCAGGTGCCCGCAGTCTGCAGCCTCCCCGTCGCCTTCCCACACCCCCACCCCTGATTCTGGCTCTGTGACTGAATTCTTGACCTGGGCCGCCGGTGCCTGGTGGGTGGTGGTAGGGAACTGGGTTCAGCTGCTGGAGCCCAGCCAGAAATCACGTCAGCCGAACACGCACCATTTCCTGACTCCGGGCACTGCAATTCGGGCCGGGCAGACAGCCTCGAGCTTGGGAAGAGAAAGCCCGTATTGACCAGCTCTCTCCTGCTCTGTTTCCCCTCTGTACTCTGGCAGGGCCTTTCCTTGGCTCGGTGCCCAGCTGCCTGCTCACCCGCCCTGGCAGACTCTCTGCATCTGCCCCACTTCACAGGCTGGGGAGGCTGGCAGCACGCCAGGGCCGGGCTCACGTCAGCGGCCACACGGGGAAGGGAGGGCAGTCTCCTGAGAGCCCCACAGCCTCGTGGGCTGAGGGCAGGTGAAATCAGGGCACCTCTGTGCAGAGGGAAGGTGGGGTGCGGGGCTCGTCCCACACCTGGGAGACCCCCATGCAGAGAACCTGGATGCCGTCACTCGAAAGCTCAGGCTCGCTCAGGCTGCCAGAGGTGCACGCCCCACCCTCAGTTCCTAGCCTGGGCCCCGGACTGGCTGACCCTGTGTGTGGGGCCAGGGCTCCCAAACACGGGTCCACTGGCTGCACGAGAGCTTCCAGGGGACCCTGCCTTTCCGATTCGGCAGGTTTAGGCCAGAACCCATGAACCCAGTATTTATTTTTAAACACCTGAAGAAATTTTGAAGCAATTCTGATTTATGGCCGAGCTGAGGAGTCAGGCTTGGGAGGAGAACCCCAGAGACGGGTCGGGAGAAGTCTGGATGCTCTTTTCCTCTGCGGCTAATCACCTGTGGGACTTGGGGGCTTCTCTGTGTATCTCTGGGCATCTGTTTCCTCATCAGGGAAAAGCAGTTCTCCCTGTGCCTTCTCAGTAGGATTAGCATCACTGTCGAATGAGGCCATGAGATACCATCTCCCGGGCACTTGTGTGGCATTATAATTAGGGTCCTAGCCCTGTCCAGTCATCTTGCCAAACCTGCTTCTGGCCTCCAGGAACACAGATGAGAGGCTGTGGCCGGCCCCGCACCGTCCGGCCCCACTTCTGGGAACAGGCTCGGGGCCTGCACTGGCGGTGCCCACAGGAGTATTTTGTTTGTGTTATGGGAAGGCGAGGAGGGAGAAAGTGGGTAGCTTTGCTGTGAGGAGTGTGGCTCCCGTAGGGGCAGTGCCCGTCCCTTCCCTCCAGGTCCATCCCATGGCTCTGTTTCACTCAGGTGTCTGTCACTGCGCGGGAAGATGTGCCCACCTTTGGTCCACCTCTGCCCAGCCCCCCCGTTTTCCAGAAGGTAGGACACTCTTCCTTGTGCTCGTCTCGCATCCACAGTGCCAGGTCTCAGTGCTTGAGTAGCAATGGTTGGGATGGAGCCGAATTCAAGCTCGGAACGTTAGGGAGATCCTTTTGCAGGTTTGGGGGGAACCTCCTTTCTTGGGGTCTCTCCCCACCTCTTTTATGCTGCCAGTCTGGCCCAGCATAGGACCACTCGGCGGGGCGTTTGACCCTGGGGTTGCCTTTCTGCTGAAAGAGGGGTTTTTATGTCAGGCCCCGGTCAAGGAGCCTTGGGCAAGAGTGAGCTCCAGTTGTGGAAGTGCCGCTGTGGCCTCCCAGGACCAGGGAAGCGGGTTTCCGTGTTGGGATATTCGCAGGTGGGCTTGGCCTGGGCTAGCAATGATCCAGTGTCAGAAGGGACCTTTCAGGGGTTCTCCCCACGCCCCCAGCTCTGCTGCCTGTCACCGTGGCTGAAGATCTCCCGGCAACAGCCGAGAATGACAGACCTGAGGGCCGTCTTGTCTGTTCCAGGGCCCGGACTTCAGGGAGTTTCTGCTCACCAAGCTCACCAATGCCGAGAACGCCTGCTGCAAGTCGGACAAGTTTGCAAAGCTGGAGGTGAGAGCGTGGGTTCTGAAGGTCTCCCTCCCGCCCGCTGGGCCGCCCGTTAGCCAGCCTCATCCAGGGCTCCTCCATCTTTTTTTTTTTTTTTTTTTTTGAGACAGAGTCTCGCTCTGTCGCCCAGGCTGGAGTGCAGTGGCATGATCTCGGGACTCACTGCAACCTCTGCCTCCTGGGTTCCAGCGATTCTCCTGCCTCAGCCTCCTGAGTAGCTGGGATTACATGCATGCACCACCACACCCGGCTAATTTTTGTATCTTTAGTAGAGATGGGGTTTCTATATGTTGGCCAGGCTGGTCTTGAACTCCTGACCTCAGGTGATCCGCCCGCCTCGGCCTCCCAGAGTGCCAGGATTACAGGCGTAAGCCACCACACCCGGCCAATCGGTCATTTTTAAAGCACCTACTGTGTGTCAGGCCCTGTTCTGTTCTCTGGGATATGGGGATAAGTTTCTATCCCTGGAGAGGACGGTGGGGGAAGAGCGGGGGGATCATTACTAAATAGACAGTTATAGTACAGTGTGCCAGCACTAGGCTGGGATGGAGGTCAGTACAGCTCAGATAGTGACTGCTTCTGCCTGTGGGGGATGGAGGGTGTGTTCAGGGAAGGCTTCCTGGAGGAGGTGGCTGATAAGCAGCTGAATCTTGATATCGGATGAACCTTCTGCCAGGAGGAAAGAGTGGGGAAGGGAGGGCCGACCTGGCATGGGAAACAGCATAAGCAAAGGCCGGGAAGAACCAGAGCGTAATGTCACGAGGGTTTGCTGTGGCCGAAGGACCCACGTGGGCTGGAATGGTGGAGACTCAGCTGGAGATGTTGGTTGGCTCAGATCCAGAAGGGCTTTGAGCTCGGGGAGGTGGGCTGCTGGTAAAGTGCTTACGCAGGAGAGTGGGGGGCTCGGTGTGTATGCCAGGGGGATTGCTCTCACAGTGGTGTCATTGAGAACGACAGGGACAGGGACAGGTTGCAGGGCAGGAGGTACGGGAAGGCGGCCAGTTAGAAGCTCTTTACAGGAATCCAGGAGAGATGACGAAGGCTTGTACGGTATGGGAGGAAATGGTTTAGGATCAAAGTTGGGAAGACTTGGTGGACTCCTGGTTGTAAGTGTTGGGGGACGTGGGATTGATTGTAGGGTGACTCTCGGGCCTGCAGCCTGGGCTCTTTGATGACACCGTGGCCGAGTTGTGTCTGCGAAGGCTGGGTTGCTGAAAGGGCCGGTCCTCGTCTGTGTGAATGGCGGCCCCGGGCGTCCGTGTACATGGCTCTGGACGAGCGTCTGCATGGAGAGGAGCAGTGGGGAGTTGGGTGTGTGGATGTGGAACTGGGGCAGAGGGCCGGGCTGGGATCCTCCACCACCAGGGTGGAGCTGTGGCAGTGGTGGGATGACCCAGGGAGAAGGGCAGGGGGAGTACAGCAGGAGGCCAGGCGCACAGCCTTCGTCTTAGCTGCAGCATTTGTGAGCATGAAGCTCAGCCCAGCTGTAGGGCCACACCATTGCTGGGCCGGGCTGGGCAAAATGCCAGCGCCCAGGTCAGGTATCTGCAGCTCACAGGAGAGGGCACATCTTGGTTCTCAGAGCCCACTTCTCCATCCCCACCCTCTTCCCTTCTAGGACCGGACCAGGGCTGCCCTCCTGGACAACCTTCACGATGAGCTCCACGCCCACACGCAGGCCATGCTGGGACTGGGCCCAGAGGAGGACAAGTTTGAGAATGGAGGCCACGGGGGGTTCCTGGAGTCTTTTAAGGTATCAGAGTGACTGATGGTTGCTGTGGGGTTGGGATTGGGGAAGAAAGGAAGTGGTCCAAGGTCCATGGGATCCTGACCTCAGAGCCCAAGGGCCAGCTCGAGGGGTGACAGGAAACGCAGGAGCACCCCAGGTGTTTGCAAAGGCGGGGGGCATTAGGAAGTGTGTGAGGCTGGAGCAGCCAACAGTTTCTTCAGCAGCCTCCCCTTCCTTCCTTGATCTCAGTCATCTCCTCCGGGCCCAGGAGTCTGATAAGCAGGGACAGGTAAAGAGGTAGCAGTCGGAGAGGAGCCGGAGCAAGCCAGGAACATCGGCGCTTTCACCTGCCTCCTCCTGGGTCGGGGAGCCCAGGGCAGAATGGCAGGAGCGAGGACCGCAGCCCTTACGGGTTTTCGTAGCTGCTGTGGGCGCCGCAATGATTCTTCCTAGCCGGCCGGCCGAGCACTGGAAGACCTGCCTGGGCGGGGGCCGTGGAACTATAGACGAGTCCCTTTGGCCGTTACCAAGGGAGAAACTAACTAGAACAAGCTGCTAAAGGAAGCGGTGAGCTCCCCGTCCCTGGAAGTATTCAAGTGGAGCTCGGACGGCCCCCGAGCTGGCGTGCGGTACAGAAGGTTTTTCGTCTTACGCTTGCTGAGTGCTTGTTGGTCCACACGGCACGTAGATCCAGCATCTGGCTTGAGCCTGGCCGTCAGCCTGTGCAGGTGGTGGAACGGGTCTCGTGTTCACGAACACACACGGGGACAGGATGAGGGACGCCACAGGCCTGCTGAGGTCCTCACACCGACGCAGAGGTAGAGCCTCATTTCAGACGCAGGTCTTCTGAGTCTCAGGTCAGTGTTCTGCTGGACTGCCTGTTAGGGATTTGGAAGGCTCCCATCTGGGGGCATTTTGTGTAGGGCTTTATGGGGAATGATGTGTGGGGCCGAGGCGACACCCACCTCTATTAAAACCCCAGCTCTGTGGGATGCGGGGCAGTCTTTAAAGCCTCTTAAGGTGCAGCTTTCTTGTCAACGACGTAAAGATAAGAAGCAGGACCCCTGTCAGAGCCATCGTGAGAGTTCATTGATATCTTGCCTGGAAAATCCAGATTGCCTGGAATACAGTAAATGCTCAAAAATGTTAGCTGTTATTACGGTTGTATAAAGTGAAAGCCTCACATACATTATCCCACCCGGAGACTCACAACTGCCCTCAGTGCCCTGGGAGGAAGGCTGTTATTGGGTGTGTAATGATTTTGGTATAATAATTCATACTCAGTTTTAATAATTATGGGCATAGTACTCCGTGTGAGGAAACCACGCCTCAAAGAGACAGAATCATTTGTGGGAGCAGGTCGAGTTGAATCCAGGTCAGCCGGGTTCCAAATCCTGTGCTTTTAATGGCTATGTGACACCACCTCCCACTTTCTGACTTTGTTAAGATTCCACCCACACTAGGCTGGGGCCCGGGCAGGCCTGGGGTCAGTCCCCCACTGCCTGGCTGGACCACAGAGAGCAGGGCACGGCTCCTCCGGCCCTAGTTGGGGCCAGCTGCCAAGATTCCTCTTGGGGTTGGGAAAAGGAGCTAAGCCGCTTGTCCAGGCTGGTGGGAGATTCCTGGGGCACCTGTTTTAGTTCTGATGGACAGTGGGAGCCAGGGTGAAACAGGAGAAACTGGGAGATCAAGACGGAAGAGGGATGTGGAAGAAGAGGAACAGAGGAAGAGAGAGGGTGCCGGGCCGGACAACCCAGTGAGAGAGTGGAGAGTGTGAGATGCGGTAAATGGGAAAACGGGCTTGGGTCTGGGGCAGGCAGGAAGTGGGGACCACATCAAGCCTTCCACAGGCTCTAGACTCTTCCTTCCAGAGGCTCCACCACACTCCATAGCCCGCGTATCAAAATGTTCCGCATCCCTCAGTAAATGTAATTTATATAGAACTATAAGAGTTGAGGCCGGGCGTGGTGGCTCATGCCTGTAATCTCAACACTTTGGGAGGTCGAGGCAGGTGGATCACGAGGTCAGGAGATTGAGACCATCCTGGCCAACATGGTGAAACCCTGTCCCTAGTAAAAATACAAAAATTAGCTGGGTGTGGTCGTGGGTGCCTATAGTCCTAGCTACTGAGGAGGCTGAGGCAGGAGAATCACTTGAACCCAGGAGACAGAGGTTGCAGTGAGCTGAGATCATGCCATTGCACCCCAGCCTGGGTGACAGAGCAAGACTCTGTCCAAAAAAAAAACCAAAACCAAAAACAAAAATTATCTGGGTGTGGTGGTGGGTGCCTATAATCCCAGCTACTCAGGAGGCTGAGGCAGGAGAGTCGCTTGAACCCAGGAGGTGGAGCTTGCAGTGAGCCGAGATCGCGCCACTGCACTCCAGCCTGGGTGACAGAGCGAGACTCCGTCTCAAAAAAAAAAAATGAGTTGAGCTGCAGTTGGTGAGCCAACATAATGTTGTATCTTGTAGGCATTTAATGAAGCACTTGTTTTGAGTTCTGCAGGTTTCTTGTAGGAAGTTAACAATTGGTTTTTCAGGTTTCAAGTATTTCTATATCCTGGAGATACTTGTAGGCTGTGGACACTCTGCCCATGTTGTCCAGTGGAGGAGGTGGTCCAGCGGCTAAATACGGGTGACAGGTGTAAAGAGAGTGGCCTGAGGCCGCTCTGTCCAGTCCCCCGCCTCTGGCAGGAGTCGCAGTTGATCTGTTTGACTCCAGGGGATCTGATGTATTCCTGGAGGAGCTTACAAGAGAGGAAATGCTTTAAGACCTTATGACGACTCGTCTTTGATCCAGGGATCCAGGGAATTCTTTTCAACACTAAATCCCTGCAACTGTAGGTTGAAGACAAGCCTGCTTCCAGATTCTGCTCTCACACCCACCTGAGGTAGCACCGTGGGACAGTCACATGGAGTAAGCTTCGGGGCCCTGACGGTCGTGACCAGATTTATTTTTAGTATCTTTTTTGAGACAGGGTATTGCTCTGCCGCCCAGGCTGGAGTGCAGTGGTGCGATCTTGGCTCACTGCAACCTCTGCCTCCCGGGTTCAAGCGACTGTCTTGCCTCAGCCTCCTGAGTAGCTGGAATTACAGGCACCCGCCACCACACCTGGCTAATTTTTGCATTTTTAGTAGAGATGGAGTTTCACCATGTTGGCCAGGCTAGTCTCGAACTCCTGACCTCAGGTGATCCGCCCACCTCAGCCTCCCAAAGTGCTAGGGTTACAGGTGTGAGCCACCACGCCTGGCCATTTGTGACCAGCTTTTTTCCCTCCCAGGTGGGGAACACGAGTTCTCGTTCCCTGTCCCTTTCATCATTGCCGTCACATCTCCCAAGCGTGGAGGCCTGAGCTGGGGGCAGGCCAGGTTCAGCCGGATGGAGCCCTGGGGCCTGGGGTGGATTCTGATGTTTAGGCCATGCCTGTGGTCAGGCCTGTGTGTCTGGCCCAGCTCAGGAAACCATCTCTAGTTTTGGTATTTTTTTCCTGGGCACCTTGGGCGGTGCTGTTGTGTCAACTTAGGGAGTTCACCCACACCTTCCTGGGATCGCTCTTGAAAGAAGTGATATCTGAAATGATTCTAGAAAGAAGAGTTACATGCCTTTGTCTCTTCCTGTCAAAGTTTTTTTTTTTTTTCTTTTTCTTTTTTTTTGAGACGGAGTTTTGCTCTTGTTGCCCAGGCCCAGGCTGGAGTGCATTGGTGCGATCTCAGCTCACTGCCTCCTGGGTTCAAGTGATTCTCCTGCCTCAGCCTCCCAAGTAGCTGGGATTACAGGTGCCCGCCACCATGCCCGGCTCATTTTTTGTATTTTTAGTAGAGACACCATCTTGGTGAGGCTGGTCTTGAACTCCTGACGTCAGGTGATCCCCCCATCTTGGCCTCCCAAAGTGCTGGGATTACAGGTGTGAGCCACCGCGCCTGGCCTCCTTCATGTCAAAGCTTTCGTCTCCCAGGCTGATGGGAACATCACTGAGAATCCCCAGGGCTGAAAGCCATCTCAGCCGTCCATCCTTGCCCCTAGGGAGGCTGTTCGTCCCCCACATCGGCACTGACTCTTGGTCTTTCTCCTGAGCGGCAGACGTGCCACTGCCCTGTGCTGTGCCGCCTGGCACCTCACCCCACTTAGAGCAGTTCCTCACAGCTCGCTTCTGTCCTCCTGGCTGTAATGGGAGCCTTTCTCCCATGAGACACAGAACAGTTGGCTTTTGGACATCTAGACCTACTTTTCAAACTGAACTGCTTGGAGATATTCTCAGGAATCTGCTGGTTCTACAAACACTTCTAAAGTTTGCATTTTCACTTAGACTTAAAAAAAAAAACTTCCATTTATAAAGACTAAATGTTTGGCCGGGCGCAGTGGCTCACGCCTGTCATCCCAGCACTTTGGGAGGCCGAGGTGGGTGGATCACCTGAGGTCAGGAGTTCGAGACCAGCCTGGCCAACGTGGTGAAACCCCGTCTCTACTAAAGATACAAACATTAGATGGGTGTGGTGGTGCACACCTGTAATCCCAGCTACTTGGGAGGCCAAGGCAGGAGAATTACTTGAACCTGGGAGGCGAAGGTTGCAGTGAGCTGAGATGGCACCACTGCACAACAGAGCCAGACTCTGTCTCAAAACAAACAAAAAGACTAAATGTTTGCAATGATCACTCCGAATTAAAAGATGTTCCCGTGGGACAAATACGTAAGGCCTGAAGCCTGCACTGCAAAGGCAGCCTATGGAACCACTGGAGTTGGGGGTCTGTGAGCAGATTCTCGGGAGTCTTGCGAGAACAGCTTTCACGATGAAGGAACTGTCCGTTACTCACGTTTGAAAGATGCTGATCTCCAGACCATTCTCAAATGCCATTCTCAGTCACCGCCAGCTGTTGATGAGGTTGTTATTGGTCCGTAATGCAATGAAAAGTGATGATACTTGCTGTACTGACGTGATACGGACGTAGAGCACATGCAGGCCACATTTTGAGAAATGCTGAGCTCATTTCTCAAATGAAAATGAGGGCGCCCAGCCCTCCACCGACCTCATTGCACAGAGGTGGAGCGGAGGACCAGAGAGGAGAAGGCTGCTGGGCTGGCTGTGAGGGACCCGGACCGTTCATTTCTCCCAGCCTTTGAGGGACGGTGATAGTTGATGCATTGGTCTGACCTGACCCCTAGTGGCAGGAGAGGCCGCAGCTATCCCTGGCCGTCTTCGTGGCCCTGCCGCACCTGCAGGGAGGTACCTGTAGGCGGGTCCCCCTAGCCAGTGATGGCGGGTGGAGCCCAGCAGGGCCCCCACATAGAATCCTTGGTCTTTGGCGTCTTTGCCCCCTCCTTTTCCTCCTGGCAGGGGGTTGTGATGTCAAGATGGCCCCACTGTTTTAGGGGTCTGCGAGAGAGCTCAGGCCTTGTGCTTGTCCCTGCTCCACTCCTGGGTTGGAGCCACGGTCTCTTGGAGCAGAGTTGGCATCTGCAGGCATTTGCCCCGCTAGAGGGACAGAGGACCCAGTGGTGACTCCTCACACTTACCTTGCTGAGTCTGGCGGCTGCACCAGGGATAATTGAGGAGCCAGTGTCCTCCCTGACGCCAGCCTTTGAGGTTTTTTTTTTTTTTTTTTTAAATGGGAACCGTGAAACTTCTTGGTTTCTTATTGTCCTTTGGTCATTCACCAGTTGAATTGTATTTTCAACCTAGACCACTTTTTAATATACAGGGACCCTTTTATCTGGAGCCCAGGGTCCTGGGTTTGGATCCTGGCTCCATCTCTTACCTGCTATGTGGCCTTGGCAATAATTTACTCTTCAAAACCTTTTCTGTTCATTGCCTGTCCTCTCTGCATCTCAGAATTGTAGAAATTCAGTAGATCTTGTATGTGACGCTCATGAGACCAGATAGTATTACACAGCAGTTACTGTGTCCCACATGGACTCCTTTCTGGGAAAGAGACAGGGAGGAATACAATCACATGTCACTCAACGACGGGAAATACGTTCTGAGAAATGCCACTCGGCGTTTGGTCGTTGTGTGAACAGCAGGGTGTACACAGACCTGGGTGGTCTAGCCTCCTACACACGTCGACTGTAGAGCCTGTGGCTGCCAGCACAGACCTGGATGGTCTAGCCTCCTACACATGTCAGCTGTAGAGCCTGTGGCTGCCAGCACAGGCCTGGGTGGTCTAGCCTATGACACACATTGGCTCTAGAACCTTTGGATGCCAGCACAGACCTGGGTGGTCTAGCCTATGACACACATCGGCTATAGAGCCTGTGGCTGCCAGCACAGACCTGGGTGGTCTAACCTATGACACACGTCGGCAGTAGAGCCTGTGGCCGCCAGCACAGACCTGCGTGGTCTAGCCTATGACACACATCGGCTATAGAGTCTGTGGCTGCCAGCACAGGCCTGGGTGGTCTAGCCTATGACACATATTGGCTCTAGAACCTTTGGCTGCCAGCACAGACCTGGGTGGTCTAGCCTATGACACACGTTGGCAGTAGAGCCTGTGGCTGCCAGCACAGGCCTGGGTGGTCTAGCCTCCTACACATGTCAGCTGTAGAGCCTGTGGCTGCCAGCACAGACCTGGGTGGTCTAGCCTATGACACACGTCGGCAGTAGAGCCTGTGGCTGCCAGCACAGGCCTGGGTGGTCTAGCCTATGACACACATTGGCTCTAGAACCTGTGGCTGCCAGCACAGACCTGGGTGGTCTAGCCTATGACACACGTCGGCTATAGAGCCTGTGGCTGCCAGCACAGACCTGCGTGGTCTAGCCTATGACACACATCAGCTATAGAGCCTGTGGCTGCCAGCACAGACCTCGGTGGTCTAGCCTATGACACACGTCGGCTATAGAGTCTGTGGCTGCCAGCACAGACCTCGGTGGTCTAGCCTACGACACATGTTGGCTATAGAGCCTGTGGCTGCCAGCACAGACCTGGGTGGTCTAGCCTATGACACACGTCAGCTATAGAGCCTGTGGCCGCCAGCACACACCTGCGTGGTCTAGCCTCCGACACACGTCGGCAGTAGAGCCTGTGGCTGCCAGCACAGACCTGGGTGGTCTAGCCTACAACACACGTCGGCTATAGAGCCTGTGGCTGCCAGCACAGACCTGGGTGGTCTAGCCTCCTACACATGTCGGCTATAGAGCCTGTGGCTGCCAGGCCACAAAGCTGCACAGCAGGTTCCTGTACTGAATATTGTAGGCAGTTGTAGCACAAAGGCATTTGTGTATCTAAACATCTAAATACAGAAAAGCTACAGTAAAAGTACAGTATTAGAATCTTAATAGGACCAATGTCGTCTATGCGGTCTGTTGACTACAGCGTCATTGTGTGGTGCTTGACTGTATGTCAGAATGTAAATGATTAGTTTGAAATGTCATTATTGATGATGGTGTTGGCAACACACAAGGGCACCGAGAGAATGCAAAGATGATGACTTATTTATTTATTTATTTTTGAGACAGAGTCTCATTCTGTCACCCAGGCTGGAGTGCAGTGGTGCGATCTCGGCTCACTGCAACCTCTGCCTCCCGGGTTCAAATGATCCTTCTGCCTCAGCCTCCCGAGTAGCCGGGATTACAGGCGCCCACCACCACAACCGGCTAATTTTTGTATTTTTTGGTAGAGATGGGGTTTCACCGTGTTGGCCGGGCTGGTCTTGAACTCCTGACTTCAGGTGATCCACCTGCCTCAGCCTCCCAAAGTGCTGGGATTACAGGTGTGAGCCACTGCCCCTGGCCGAGATGCTGAGATTTATGGAGTGCTAACTAACTCAAGGAACCTGGCTGTGGCCAGGCATGGGGGCTCACACCTGTAATCAATCCCAGCACTTTGGGAGGCCAAGGCAGGAGGATTACTGGAGCCCAGGAGTTTGAGGCCAGCCTGGGCAACACAGGAAGAACCTCTCTCTCTCTCTCTCTCTCTCTCTATCTATCTACCTAGTCTATCTATCTTAAAAAAGGAAGCTCGCCGCTCCTCCAGGGACACCTCAGTGTGCCACCACACCTGTCCTGCCCTCAGTTGTTCAAAGGGCACATGGCTTTATGCTGCTTGCATGATGGGGTGAATGGAACGTGCTGACTGTTTTAATCACGCAGCAGGAAAACCATTGCTACGTGGTCCTGTGCTGTGGTGTAGAGCGGGAGTGAGAGATGATGTGTCTCCAGGGGGATCTTTGACTCAGATAAGAGAGGCCCTATCAAATCAGGGATATGAAGCTGGTGGGCTGCACGCTTCAGTGTCAGTAGCTCCTCTGGGGGGCTGTCCGGTTTACAAATGGCCCTCCTGAGTCTGCGTCCCTTGTCAGGATAGAAAAGCAGGCAGGATGGGGTTCTTTGCTCTTCCCAAGCTTGGAGAAATCCTGACCTCCAGAGAGCGCAGGGAGACCTGTGGTTTGGGTTAGGAGCAGCAGTTCTGCTGTTTTCTTGGGACCCCTTTGCTGTAGACCCAGCTCTTCCTAAGATGCCTCAAGGCCGGGCGCGGTGGCTCATGCTTGTAATCCCAGCACTTTGGAAGGCTGAGGCAGGTGGATCACGAGGTCAGGAGTTTGAGACCAGCCTGGCCAACACCGTGAAACCCCGTCTCTACTAAAAATAACAAAAATTAGCCAGGCATAGTGGCAGGCGCCTGTAATTCCAGCTACTCGGGAGGCTGAGGCAGGAGAATCGCTTGAACCCGGGAGGCGGAGGTTGCAGTGAGCCGAGATCGCACCACTGTGCTCCAGCCTGGGTGACAGAGCGAGACTCCGTCTCAAAAAAAAAAAAAAAAAGATGGTTCAAAAGGGGAAGGGAGGTTGTTTGTCCACATGAGACCATGTGTGGGTTACACATGGGGTGTGTGAGCCCACACATTTGTACAGGTGTGCACAGGTGTGAATCCAGAGGGGAAGGGAGCAGGGCCCACGCCTTGATCCTTCCACGTCAGCTTTCTGAAGCTGGAGTTCTGAGAGCCGCCTCCCTCGACTAGCTCACACTGTGATAAGGAAAATCCATGAGCTCGTGTCCAAGGACGCCTGAGTGACTCGTGACTCAGTCAGCGTCAAGATTGCTTTCGTCTTTCCCCTCTGCCCTCCCTAGCTTGTCAGCTTTGTCCTTCAGGCGTGGCCCCTCGTGGCCCTAAGAGCTCTGTCGTGGTTTTAGCTGCTGACATATTAAATCTCTTCTGGGAATCATTGAGAAAACCTTTCCCCAACGACCCCAGTGGATATTCCTCCTCTGCCACTGGCAAGAGGATAGGCTGACCTACTGCCTTAGGCAGATCATGACTCAATCCTGCGTCCCATGGAGGAGGAGGACACGTTTGGCTAGAACCTGTCTCAGCCAGTGGGGAGCTCAGGAAGCAGAGGGGTTGGTACTTACATGTAAGCAACAGATAATACTCATATCCAGGAGTCTTTGCCCTTGCGGAAGCCTAGACAACTGATTAATCCAGAAGGAGCACCCCACAGGCTCTGGGTCTTTCAGCCCTGCCCAATGTGAGGAATATGTCTTGGGCCTTCCTCAGGCAGGGACCGTGTCCTACACGTCTCGACTTTCCTGCTGCAGGTCTCCCAGTTCCTGGCACAGTGCTGGGCACATCAGAAGCCTGCAACAGGTGCTCGTTATTAACCGTAAGAGTAGCCACACTTACTGGATCGTTACGATGTGCTGGGTCCTCTCCTCAGAGCCCTGTGTGTATTCTCACAACTGCTCTGTGGTGTAGACATCAATATCTGTTTCACTGATAAATCTCAGAGAAGCTGGGTCACCTGCCCGGGGATACTCAGCTAATGGGTGCTGGAGTAGAGAGCCCAGAAGCCCGGATACAAATCCTGGCAGTGAAATCCTAAAGCCTCTGTGCTTTTGACTGCTGAGTTGCATTCCTGCCTGGCCAGATCCAGTGACTGACTGGATGATCAAAGGGTTACTGGAGAGAACCTCCTCTTCCTAGAGCTCTCATATCATCTTTGAAGGCCTTAGGAGCCAGAGAGAGCATCATCCAGGGGGCAGCCAGAATCCTCTGGGACTTCCTTTGTCAGGAAATCCTCCCTGAGGTCGAACCGAGCTCTGCTTCACCACACCACTCTGAGGGTGGTTGTGCCTTCCCGGGTCCATCCCTCCCGTGGCTCAGTGATCTTGGTTTTTAGCTGTTCTCACTCTCACATGTACTTTGACAAAGCCTTGACCGCCCTGGTGGTCCTTTCCTGGGTTCTTCACTATTTGCCAGTGTGCCCCTTGTTCCTGGGTGGCCTGAGCAGCTCTGTGCCCCCCGAGACACTGCCCTTCTGCCAGGCTGAGGGTACATCTCTTTCAGCAGCTGCATCAGACCGTAGGCCGTAGCGAAGGTGGGCCTGAAGCCCCCTGTCTGTCAGCGGCTGCATGGGACCGTGGACCGTAGCAAAGACGGGCCTGAAGCCCCTGCAAGTGGGAGGGGCGGCTCAATGCATGGCTTGTGCACGGATGAGTGAGACCCTCACACGCTTTCACCAACGGCCAGCATATTCCAAGTTGCACAGAGCACACTTAGGTATATAATCCAGTGTATATTACAGATGGAGGCTCAGTTTTCTGGAAAAGGGTCAACTTGTGGTCAGGCACCTGCGTGTGCTGAATCCCCACCACGATGCTGGGTGTGAAACACAGAATTCCCATTTTACAGATGAGGAAGCTGTAGCTTAGAGAGGTTAGTGACTAGGTCAGTGTCGTACAGGTTTGGTAAACTCCAAGCCTCATTTTTCCTTACCTGTAAGATGAAGATAACAACCTTTGTCCACTTTGCAGGGGAGCTGGGGCACCGACCCCTCAGATTCCCTCCAGCCGGGGCTGTGCCTTGCCTCCACCCATGCCCAGAGTGGGGGGCAGAATATGGAAGCATCCTCTATAAGCTGGAGTAAATATAGTATGGGCCTCTGTGACTGTGTGTGTGTGTGTGTGCGCGCGCGCGCACGTGCACACACACTTGCTGAGGGCTGTGTCTACAGACCCCACGAAGAGGGCAGAGTCATCCAGAAAGCCCAGGTGCTGATTCTCGGGCCCTTGTTCTCTCCCCATAGAGGGCCATCCGCGTACGCAGCCACTCCATGGAGACCATGGTGGGCGGCCAGAAGAAGTCGCATAGTGGGGGCATCCCGGGCAGCCTCAGCGGGGGCATCTCCCACAACAGCATGGAGGTCACCAAGACCACCTTCTCGGTGAGTGCTGGCAGGCCCTGGGGCAGAAGTGGGTGCCGGGGAGGCACCCCCAGACCTACGGAGGAAGAGTGCCCCCACCCAGGCTTGGGCAGGTGACTCGATCAGGGCAAGCTGGATGATGGAGGGAAACTGAGGCTGCTTGGGGATGACCCTGACCCCGACCTCTGAAAATGGTCCTTTGGAGCCTCCATCCTAGACAGCACCTGGGGTTGGCCCAGATGGCGCTAGAAGCCATCCTGTCCTATTCTCTTGAGTTTCCTTGACAGCTAGACCTCCTCCTCAGGGCCAGCCCTGCAGTATCGTCCTGGGGTGTGTTT